TCCCCTAGAATGCTTAGGTGGTCTATTTTTTTGTCTGCATATGATTTTTCATTACTCCACAAGCCTGGGAAAGAAATGGGCCATGCTGATGGCCTCAGTAGGTTGCCTCTGCCAGTAGTAGAAGCTGACCCCGCGCCAGCTGTCAACATTCTATCAATCCAAGCCTTGCCCGAGCTCCCTCTTAGTGCCAGGGATGTTACCGCTGAAACGGGTACAGATCACACACTTTCACGTGTCCGCTCCTGGGTCCTGTCCGGGTGGCCTGAGCACTGCCCTAGTCCTGAGTTTCAGAGTTTCTGGTCCAAAAGAAACGAACTGTCCCTTTCTCAGGGTTGTCTGCTTTGGGGAAACAGAGTTGTCATTCCCACCTCAATGAGGACTAGGGTCTTAGAATCCCTCCACGAGGGTCATCCTGGCATTGTTCGTATGAAGGCTCTTGCACGAAGCCACTTGTGGTGGCCTGGTTTAGATAAAGATATTGAAGCTAAGGTACACGCATGCCACCTGTGCCAACGATCTCGCCCAGAGATGCCCCAAGCTCCTGTGCATAGATGGGAGGAAACACAGTCCCCATGGTCTAGGGTGCACATTGACTACGCTGGGCCCTTTCAGGGCCAGTTCTTCTTGGTCCTTGTTGACAGCCATTCAAAATGGCTTGAGGTTGTGCCTGTCTCATCCACCACCACTGCAAAGACTATTCAGGTACTGAGGGGGATTTTTGCTGCACACGGGCTGCCAGATGTCATTGTGTCCGACAACGGCCCTCAATTCACCTCCTCCGAATTCCAAGCTTTCTTACAGGCAAACCTGATTCGTCATGCCACGTCTGCGCCTTTTCACCCGTCCACCAACGGTATGGCTGAACGCATGGTGCGCATCGCAAAGGACGCCTTGAAGAGACTCACCTACGGGGACTGGCATCACAGGTTGGCTGACTTTCTCCTTTCTTATCGCACCACACCGTCCACTTCTACAGGGAGAAGTCCAGCTGAACTTCGTTGGGGGCGCCAACTTACTACTAGACTTGACCGGTTGCATCCGGACAGACTGCCTTCATCTACCTCACATCCTAGGGCACCTAGACAACTACTTGTGGGTGCCCCGGTTTGGGCTCGCAATTACGGGCCTGGTCATACATGGGTCCCCGCTTCTGTGTCCAGGATCACAGGTCCTCTCTCCTACGAGGTTGCCCTGGACAACGGTCGTGTCCTGCGTCGGCACATCGACCAACTTCGCTCTAGGCGAGACTTTTCTGCTGAGACTCCTGGGTCTTTTCCAGGGGGGGAGGGGGACCCTTTGGAGCAAAGGGAAGGGCACGAGCTGCTGCCCATCTCCACTGAGGGAGCCACAAACGGCCCATCCCAGGGTTCCGCGAGAGCTCCGAACCGGAATTCCATGAGCTTACCTAACTACCAGGCATCCACGCCTACTCCAGCCAGGGAGTCACCCCGGGGGCATACTCACTTTCCACACACATCACACAGCACTCCAGCAACGGAGGATACCCGGGGGCATCCCAACAAATCATTCCCCGCAAGAGAACTGGCACACAATTCCCAAAGTTGGCCTGACCTTACCCCAAATCCTACATGGGGTCAAACATACACAGAGTTAGTCGAGGAACCAAGTCCCGACTACAACAACCCTAGCACAAATCAGGGAACACCTGAGTTTTGGGAAAGTACTGAAACCCACACGAGCCCGAACACAGAATGGGGTTCAGGGAATGGACAGCCTCCTGACAGGTCTTGGACTGACCTAGGAGGTTCTACAGAGACGCCCAGCAGCGGCTATCACTTCAAGGGGCCTGAGGGTCTACAGCTAGGTAGGTCAACCAGGTCACAAAGTAACAGAAGCCCTGGCCTGACGAGCCCGGTGGGCAAGCAAGCAGGCCAGGCATCGGGGCACAGTCCGTGGAAGACACCAGGACACAATAGAGAGAACAGGCTCACGCCTCCCTCCAGTCAGGGGACTTATGCCAGTAACCCAGAGCTAAGAAGGTCCCAGAGAGCAAAGAAATCTCCCAAGTACCTAGAAGACTACATAACATTGCTGGCAAGGCAAAGGCCAGTAAACAGTGGGAGCACTGGGGAGCAAAATGTCATATGAAATAAATGTTGTATGTTGGTAGTAGTTTTAGCCCGGGGGAAAGGGGTGTTATGTCCCGAGCCTTTGCAAACGGCTCGGGCGTTTGCAGGCAGTCCCGGGCAGGTGCAAAGCTGCCCGTGACCAGACAGGCTGTCGCCAGCGCCGTGCGCATGCGCGGGTGCTGGCGCGGGAAAAGTAACCCATTTACCCGGGAGTTGCCTATATAAGAGGCTGCGAGGCGTTTGGGCGAGGCTGAAGCCATCTTCCTGTAAGCTGAACGCTGAATAAAAGAAACTGAGAACTCCAGCTGCTTCTCGTGTCTGTTTTCCCGCCAAGGACGCAACAGATGCTTTGCTGATTTCTTTTTAAAAGCCTTTCTTCTCAGATTTCTATTTTTTTAAAAAAATGCAGTATAGGCAATCATACTTTTCAATAAATGTGGCATGAAAAATTAGAATTATATGCTTGTTATTTTGATCCAGATCTATAGAATTTCACTGGAATTACACTAAAATATCTTTGCACAGGCCTTGAATTCAGTGCCTTCAAAAACGTTTAAAGACAAACGGGCTGCTTGTCTTTGCTGCCTGCTATATACCAATATACGGTAGGTGCACTCCAACTGCCTTCTGTTACAAATTGTTATCTTACAGGATGAAAAAAAGCATACCTTCTCCCACAACAGCCCCTGATCTCAGGAGCCAAAAATGTAGACATTGCCACTCTCCTGGGCTTCTTCAAACATGGCTTTGGTCCTGGGTCTGATATTAATGTATTGTGCAGCAGTGTGTGTGTGTGTGTGTCTGTGTGTGTGTGTGTGTGTGTGTGTGTGTTATGGTTTCTTGTTCTTGTTGTGATTGTTTTAGTCCAAACTCTGTGTTCTTTTATGTTTCTCATTGCTTTTACCATTTTTGGTTTGATATGCCATCTATAGTCCATCGGAGTTGGGTGCCTATGACAAATTTATTTAAAAAAACAAACAAACAGCGGAATATAGCAATAGCACTTAGACTTATATACCGCTTCACAGTGATTTTACAGCACTAAGTAGATTACAGAGTCAGAATGTTGCCCCCAACAATCTGGCTCCTCATTTTATCGACCTCGGAAGGCTGGAAGGCTGAGTCAACCTTGAGCCAGTCAGGATTGAACTCTTGACAGTGAGCAGCGAGTTAGCTCTAACCACTGCACCACCACGGCTTTTTATCTTATATCATAAACAGTCTACAGTTAATGCATACATATTAGAGTAGATAACAGGAGATAAAGAAATAATTTTCCCCTTCTGGCCAGTGGAAAATAGCAGGTCTGTTTGTAATGATTGGGGATGGAATTAACAGGACCATTCTTACAGTTAAGCCCTGTGTTTAATCCTACAAAATGTGTGCAAAAAATGGCTCAAAGATCTATGACAGAGCCTTATGTGATAAAAGTTTTAAGTTCTGTTATTCTATCAACCTGGAGGAACATTGTCCATGGGGTCGCGATGGGTCGGATACGACTTCGCAACCAACAACAAAATTCTATCAACCTAAAATTCAACAACCATTGAAAAGAGGAATGCATTCAAGAAATCTCATTTTCTTTCAATATAAGCTTGTGGGGTTTTTTTAAAAGTTTTTTTTTTTGCATCTTTTGATAATTAGAAAAATCTAGCTATTGGCCTATCTATAACTGCAACATCATTTTGGTTGAAGACAATGAAAAAAGTCTGGCAAGGGATTTTTGGTTTTTTTACACTCTGAAAACACCTATGCTGTAAGAGACCTCACTATCCTATTAACCATATTATTCACTTAAAAACAAATAAATAAATAAAAGACAATGAGATGTAGCTGCCACAAGAAAATTCTTTGATGCTATCCGATTGAACCTTGGAAGCAGAACTGACTTCAAATTCAGTCAACTTCAACCATAGGAATTCCTCTCCTTAGAAACTTCACTGAAATTCTATGATAGAGAAGGAACAGATTGCAGCAACTAAGTGTCACAGACAGTTAAGAGAAATCTGAGAGAGGAAAAAAATGGGACAATTTTAATGTATGCATGCATTGAAGATTTTTTTTGGTCCTATACTGTATGTAGAATCAGTTAGTGGTAATATAGAACTTGGCTTCATGTTCAAAAATCTTGTTTTTCAGACTGTTTTCCTATGCTTCCAACATTCTAAAATGTTGACTTGCTAGAAGAGGAATGTCTAACCATATGCGTTCTTGGTTAGCCAGTACCAACCTCAGCTTAAAGACTTCAGCAGTCTTTGTAACCAAGAAGTAAACTCAAATACTTCAAACCATAATATGATTTATCATTATGCCACATCATCATTTTTAACCACAGAATGATTACCATAGGAAACATCATCCTGAAATACACCCTGATAACCTTCTGAATTCCATTCCACTGAGACAGAGGCATGCATTTAAGAAACATAATTTCTTTCCGATGTCAGCTTGTGATTTTTTTTTTTCATCTTTGCTAAGGCTGCCAACAGGATCGCAGACATTTTGCCAAGATATTTGTATGGATGTGTGAGTATATCTGCAGCATCCAATTGTTCCACTTACATGTCTGGTAACCATAGAACACAGCCTTAGCTGGCTGATTAGGTTGAGTTTACAGCTTCTCAGCATCACCAGCGTGGTTAAGGACAAGCATAGCAGGCCAGTAAATCTAGCCCAAGGGAGACAGTGTTTGCCAAATGTGAAGTCTGTTTGGTGATAAAAGGAGTTGATCGGAGAACGCTAAGGCTGAGTTCTGCCTCCTCCCCACCAAATAACTACCAGATGGTAGCAACATTTGGCAACTCTCCTGCTTAGCTAGGATTCATATTGATACCCCAGAAATGAAATGAAAGCTCTTGTATCCTATTACTGCTCCCCTAAGCTATCTAGTACCCATCTGGAGCAGAAAGTAAAGATTCGTACAGCTTTATTTTCAAAGGCAGCAAAAGGGAAAGGACATTTCATTTAAAGGGGGAGGCAAGGTTGGGTGAAAACATATCAGAGCAAGTATTTTGTTTCATTTAAAATAATCTCTTTCTGCAAGTGTCACAGACTATACATACATTTTTACAAGAATAAACCAAATTCTTATCTACAAATTGAAGAGCCCAAAGATCCTTAGTGCAAACTATTGCTGGCCTGCAGCTTTTAAATCAGTAAACTTTGGATACCCTAAATGGTCCATTAAAGTTGAACAGATATCCTCAATCTGCTTAATTTCCTCTGGAGGCATATTGTGCTGCCAAGCGTGGATGCCCACTGGAGAGATTTCTCCTTCATAAGGAAGATAGAAAAGACTGGTGGATGTAGCAAATAGTATTTGGTTTAAGCTGGCTGGAGCCAGAGGCATGCCAAGGAAGTCATAGATAGCTTCAGCCGTCTTCTGGGGATAGTTGACAATATCTTCAAATTTGATCAGCTGGTAGTTTGCCGACAGCAAACCCTTGTTTACTCTCAGGGCAGCGGCGGTGTTGGCCAGCCACAAATGGGACATCACAGAGACAGCATTTGAATCTGAAGCTGTGAGCTTCTCTCTCAGAGCATCATATTCAAAGGCATAGCCTGAATTGGAGCCACATTTTTTTTCATGACCGTCTCCTTTAAACAGCTTAGTCAGATGCTGTGGTACCTTCCTCAGAGAGTAAAGGGTAGGCTGGTTTTTGTACAACATTAAGTAGATCCAGGCACGCGGGTCTCGAACCACATAAAGCGCTCTCAGGGAAGGACCAATGACTTCCTGAAGAAAAGGTAGCTTTAGTGTCCAGCTTCCACTACTCAGACTAAGGACAGGGCGGGCATTTGGATAAGAGGCAAAGTGTTGCCTCAGTTCCCGAATGTATTCAGCTTCTTTGTCTGAATTTCCTCGCAGGCGGTTTCTTTGCTCTACAATAGATTCTCTCTTCCTGGACCCTCTCTTTCGGTCTCTGCTACTGGAAGAATGCTGCACCAATTTACTTCTGCTGGTTTCATGCAAATGGATATTCTGTAAGTGAAGCTTTGTGTCTTTCACTAAGGAATGCAGCCAGCCCTGCAGGATCCGAAAATGGCCGCTCTGAACATCCGAAGCTTTCCATTCACAGGCATCAACAAATGAGTCAACCTCACACTCAGTTTCAGGTATATCAAGGTAACCCATTGGGATCTTGATATAAACAAAGTCACTAGTGTTGTAAAAGAGCTGCTTCAGAATTTCTGCCCCTGAACTAGGGAGAGAAGTGATGATAACATCAGGCAAATTAGGATGTCCTTGATCCTCCCTTTCACTTGGTTCCATATCTGTCATGCTGCTAGTCCACTTTGTGCAGATCATTTGAGTGCAGGAGCTCCACACATCTACAAGTTCAATAAACCACAAGGTAATTACCAGGATTAAGACCCAGCGCAAAAGCTTACCAAAGGAAATGTAAAATCGCCACTGAAAAGCCAATATGGCCAAGCTAATCCCCAAAATAAATCCTGCTATCACATTCACTTTAAAGCCAAAGGGGAAAATGGATTTATGAGTAAGTCCCTGCTTCCCTATCATTTTAGTGCCCAGACCAAACTGTGTAACCTTTCCTTGAGTGGTTACTGTGGCATAGCCACCAAATCCTAAATAACGGAACCTTGTCCACAGATTGAGATACTCTGTTACAACAGAATAGATTATTTCTGTGTTGTTGATGTTTAGAGAAATCCGATACCCTGACTGGGCATCGTCAATAAACCTACAGTTAGAAACATTGACATAAGGCCCATAGAACACATAGGCAATTCTTGCAATATTACTCTTTGTAGAGAAAGTGACATTTACAAACTGTGTCCATCTCTTTTTGAACTCAGCAGCTTGTTCAGCCTCTTGTATCCTAGCAACAGGGCTGCTTCCATGATGGTCAAACCAAAACATTTTATAGTGAGCATCCCAGACATCCATCATGGCTCCATTGTATTTGTTCATAAATTTATATGGGACATACTTAAAGTCAATGTCAAGGTTATGAAAGAAGGCACTGATGGCATCAATAGGAGAGTCTTCCTCCTTTTCCACATGGTCCACCACAAGTAAAGTCTGAGGATTTAGTAGAAGCAATGAGCGGTACACACTTTTCAGCTTCATGGCTGATGAATATGCAGAAACTGCCTCACCACTCACAAACATCATCTCTTCATGCTGAGAGGAAGTGATAATTTCTCCAGATGTATCCCCAACTTCATCGCCTGTCCACTTAAGCCACTGCATACATTCCCCGAGCTGACCTTCCCAAGGCTGATTGCATTGGCTTGTGGGGGATGGAGCAAATACTAAAACATTGTTCAAGTGGCTAAGCTTAGGTCCATAAAGGGCCTCTGAAACAAATACCTGCCCATTTGGGGCAAAAGTAAAAGAGTTTTGATCAGGATGTTCATGGCCCGGGTTGAAGCTACGCCAGCCGTCAATCCAGGAATACGGCTGAAAGTGGACTATATCATAGACAGCACGGCCACCAAGCTTTCCAGACTTAAAGGAAACAAAGGTATTTGTCTGAGTGTTTGGTAATCCCGCTCCGTATGTAACCACCCCCCAATTTGGAAACACATGCATTTTAGCCTTGCCATAGTCAGGTGGAGGTTGGGGGGTTAACTTGGGGTCATACCATATGTACTCTGTATGAAGGGTGCTCCACCGTTGGGCAGTGGACGGTACCATTGGGCCATCTTTGGGCCGGTGCTTTCTAATTTGCTGTGCAAGCCAATTGCCTACTCCATTCTTCAAGACAAACCTATCTAAGAAAACCAATTGGCTTTCTGGACCATAAAACCAGTTATAATTGGAATCAGCTATGCCTACAGTTCTCTGGAAGCCTGGCAAAAGGGTGGCATAATAAAACCAAAAGTGCATCTTGAGCCAGTGGTTTTCAAGATTGTTAATCCCAAAGTGGCGCTGGGCCAGAAAAATATACTGGGTGATGGATTTGGCCGTGTAGCTACCATAAGCCACACCTTCGTCCAAGGAACCATCAACAATATGATTTAGCAGAAACATGGTTTTTTCCATCACATCTATTACAGTATGCTTCCAGGCATTTGCTTGGGACTCAATGCCTCCTCCAGCGACCAGGGCCCCGATGAGCAATGCCAACATATTTGTGGCTTGATGGTTGTGAAGAAGTTGCTTGCCCCAAGAACGGACTTTGGAATACTCGTACATTCCCATGGTCACAGCCCATATCTTGGCAGAATATTTTTGCCTTCTGACATCATCCAATGAGGCATGTAAGAAATCAAAAGCAGTGGCAAATCCAGTTAAGGAATGCCCGAGAGGGACTTCATCACCCGGGGCATTTTCCACAAGCCAGTCTTTATATCCTGCCATTCTGTCCATGTATTCAACAACAAAATCAAAGGCAGCTTTATCTTCAGGACTGAGGAGACAATAAAATGCAAGGGGAGGCAGATTGTTTCCATATATCTCATTCCACTTGGCAGCAAAATCAGCATGCTTGGGAGGAGGTAGATAGTAGGAGGGATTGGACAGCATGGCAGACACTGCACTCCGGATTGCTCTAAAGAGATGGAGATGGCTGGTGTGAGACTTCTGCCTCAGAGCTGGGATCTCTTCGGCACTGAAATATAAGTTTGGATACAGGGCTGTTTTTTTTATCCTCTGATTTGCTCCCAAAGCTTCCATCCTCTGCTTCTCGTACTGATCCACGTCTTCTGTAAAAGTCACCCAGTCAGAGTAATTGCTAACAGATTCTTCAAAAGTGGAGACTGCCAACATCACTAATGCTAGAAATATGGAATGTCCTGTAAACATTAGAGCCATGATCCATTAGGCAGATCCCTCACTTACGGGTATACATCTCCTTTTGGTGGCAGGGTGAGGGGGGGAAATGTTCAAATTCCAAGCACAAATCAACCTACCAGTGGGAAAATCTTCTTGAAGGTGCTTTACTGTACATAGGAAAACTTTTACTGGTACACACAGTTCTTGGATGACGTCATTAGGCACAGCTCTGGAAAATGTTGAACTGCAAGTACACTGACAGACATTGTATGACTATACAGAAAAGTAAAGGGAATGTCATCTCTCACTAATGTCTATGCATATTTGATACATTCAATCTCAAAAGGATATTGTATGTTTAGCAAGCCATAAAGTGCAGGGAGAAAATCATATCCAACTCACTACTTCGTTAATAATGGAATTATTTTTCTTCAGAATATATTTAGTCATTCATGCCGTTGAAAAAGAAAGCAAGAACATGACATATATCAAAACATTAGGAAAGAAATGTATTTTTGTATAGAAGGGACCCATACAGTGAATGAATTGTGTGCCTTCGTTTTCATTCTCTCATGTGGGGTGAAAATATCCATATGTTACTTTTTGTGGGTAAAAAGGTTTAGCAAAATATTTATGTCAGCCAGAATTTTCGCAGCTCCAAAACTTAAGCAATGAAAGCTTTGCTTGATTTGAACTTCCTGGTAGAGGATGGTGGTTTTAATGCTTGGTTTCATGACTGCCATGTTCTCATCCATCTGTGCAACTGGCTCCTGTTCTGAAGTTTTTTTTTTTTTTTTACTATCTTGATGTCCTCATCACAAAACACATTTTAAAAGGGGTACATAAAATGTGATACACTTTTGCTTCCACTGACAGCTGCTTCTGTAGTCTTTTTTTGTTTGGTATGATGAACTTTTCTGCCTTAAAAAGAAAAACCAAAATGCATCATTACAAACTAATATCAACATATACATTTTTTTAAAAAAAATGAAGACATGGTGGCATTCTTATTTTAATCAAATTGGTATCAGAAATAAATAATGTGAGCTCTCTGAGTTTTCATTTCTAATGCTTCCTTCTTCACCCATTTCCTTCAAGGTGCTTGAGCATTCAAAATAGGTTGAAAACTCTTACTCAGGAATGAATCAATTCCATTTTTTTATTGGTTAAGAGTCAAACACCATCCAGAAGCCCCATCAACAATGCCCCTTGTCAGTTACATCTATTTGCTTCTTTCCCTGCCGGCTGATGCAATAACACCAGTTTGAGAATCAAACCAATCTTGAAGGCTTGCTGACGACTTTGGGCTTTTGAAATATCGTCCCAAAGCATTTCAGTTTTCCCACCCAGATATGCTTATAATTAATTTATATAAGGATATATATCCTTAATACCTTTTCCCCCCTCCTTCACCTGTGGCTGGCCGAATGGCTAGTCACCAGAGGGCGCCAGGAGCTAATTAACCAGACCGACTGGAACACTTAGAACAACTTTTCTTTGCCAACAAATGGAAATACTTAAAAGTCATCGCCAATAGATCAGCCAGGAAATTCTTCTTAATAATAGCAATTATTATGAAGTAATAATGCTAATTAAAATCTCTTCCCCCCCCTAACATTCTTAAAATGTTACAAAGCCACCGCCTTACCTTAAGGAGTCTTCCTCCCAAAGCGAAGGACAGAAGAACGGAGGGAACCGAAAAAAGGAGAAATATCCGGGGGCCACATCGCCTTGTTTAAAAACTTGTTTAGTTTTCCTTTCCGCGGATTTGCCGGCCGGAGCTTTCTTCTGACTTCGCGCTCCCCGGCTGGATCAGGGAGCAAAACGAGCTCCCTTTTTTTCGTCTCCTTAGCAAACTGTCCCGAAGCCCGGATTGCGTAGACACGTGATTTGATCCGCGTCCCTTTCTCAAGATCAAGGAAAGAGTCGGATGCTGGCCAAGACGGTCCGAAGTAGCCGAGCGGCCTTTAAAAAAAAAAAAAAAAAGCGGAAAAGCCGCGCAGTACTCTTGAAGCGTAAAAGTGAAGATGGCGAGAAAGAAATTACTTTTTATTCTCTCCCCCCACCCCCCCGATTCTGCAAATGGGGTAGGGAAATTTAAAAAAAAAAAAATCTCACGCGAGATTAATCATTCAGAGTTTGATGCCAAATCGACTCCGGCAAAGAACGTGACTTTTTCCGCAGAGGAGAGGCAGGCAGAGCCTCTGTGGCCGCCGCGGCTTCTGCCTGAAGCGACGGACTTTCCTCCGGCCGAGCCTTAGCCATGGTCTTCCCGCTGCCCGTTTATCAGTCCGTCTGCCTCCGTTTCAGCCAGCGGCTCAACCGCTGCGGTTGGCGGGTTGAAAGCTCCAGCGGCCAGCGCCGGGGAGATTGTAGCGGCAACCGCTGCCTGGAGCCGGGCGGAGTCAAGGCGGGTCTGGCGGCGGGCTCTGCCCTTGCCAGCAGCACCAGCAACAGCAACGGCGGCGGCGGCTGCTCATTCTCAGTGCCTTTTTTTTTTCTTTTTTGCAACGCCCGCCCGGTACCGAGCATGTGCGAAAGCCGCGGTCCCCCCTCCTCTCCCCTAACCCCCCTTAATTACACCTGATCTTTGCGAGAGGGCGAGAAGCAAATGGGACGACTGGGGCTTGGCTGAGGAAGGGACCCAGGCGGAAAGAGCAGCGGCGGAGACAACTGGGTGATGCTAGGAAGACTTGATGGAATGGAGAAATTATGTGGGAGAATACAGATGAACGCTCTTAAAACGTGCCGAGGCTGAATAAGTGGGTAAGGTTCTAGGAAGAAAGGAAAAGTCAGCACTTTTTTTTTTTTTTTAAAGCATAGGATCCATTGAAAACCACTGGTTTAAAAGAAAGAACGTCTATCAGTTCAAAATGAGCCGTTGCAAAAGTAAACAGGTCCGAGGCTTTTTGGCACCGCCATGTCCTACGATCCTGGATCTGAATCAAAGGTGTAAAAAAAAAAAAAATCATCATCATCGTTTTTATATGGGACCTGGTTGAAATCACAGATCACTTGTCTGCATAGAAAAAAAAGCCATCATAATCATGTATCATCAGAAACCTTATGGCTGGATCCTTCAGCATTTCAGTGTGTCATAGCCTCCTCTCCCTAACCCCCATTTAATAATACCCATGAAATTCTTCTACTGCTTGCTTGAGTTACAATCACTACATGTTTGATATAAAGTTAAGTTCTACTTACCCATCTTCTGAATTCAGTAACCTAACAGAAGCCCTTGACAAAGACAAATGTGCCATCCCAGCTTCCTGATCCTTATTTATCCCCAACATCTATGTTCACAGTAATATTTTTGTGACAGGGTTTCTGGACAATCATGCTTTTTGTTAAATTTGGTGTATTGCACAGTTGTGATATTTGTGGGATAGTGCAACAAGAAACCTTAACTGAAAGAAAAAACAAGTCCCAGGTTTTCTAACAGTTTTATAGAAGTGTTCTTTGAAATTGACTAGACTGAATTGTCTGGGTAGTTAAGGCTACTGTGAAATGAACTAGTGAATGAACACTTTCTTAGATAAATTAATGGATGTAACTTAATCGTTATGTACTCATGAATAGATTTTGCTACAACAATCCAGATCTAAATTGCAGAAATTTTAAAAAATAAATTGATGTTATTGAATATGGAATAGTAAGAATGATGCAATAGTACATTCTTGTTGTTGGACAATATAAAAGTACAATTAAAAATAAGAATTGAAATAGCCACTGAAATATGCGGGGGGGGGGGGTGTTCTCGGTTTCCAACTGGTTACAAGAGATGAAAGTTGTCTCATGTCTATTTTTCCCTAAAGGGGATTGAAAGTCTCATTCAAGTCCAGTTGCATATTGTTATTGTCATCATCTGGCACTTGACTAACAAAACATCCAATTTTTCTCCATCCACGTTACACCTTGTTTACTCCTTGTCCACTCCAAAATGGCACTACATTTTAATTCCTTTTATATTTCATATATAGTTTCAGACTGATCCAATATCAAATAGTGAAACTCCATACATAAGCATTAGATCCATAGTTTTGTTTCATAGAAAGCCCCCTCCGCGCAAATAATCAAAGCTGTTAATAATGAATGAAACCTCTGTTACAGTGAAAACACCACGATGGGTCTGCTGTTGTAATAACTGATTCCATTCAGATGCATTACCTAGAGAGATATCAAAGAAATAGGTCTGAGAAATCCACAGCAGAAACTGGTATTCTGGGTTTCTTTTGTTTGTTTGTTTAATTGTGCTTGGAGGAATACTGATTCTAAACTTGGAAGTATGTTTCTTGCCTAATAGGAACTTATCAAGCTGTGATTGATGTATTAGGCTAGTTCCATTTCAAAGCCATCCGAACTGGAGGACAGCATTACTATATCTTGTGGCTGATTTCCATAAAATCATTATATTCATAATAGAGCAATATGTCATTTTATGAATGGGAAAATTAGCAAACCTAACAGAATATGTTAGCAATTAGGCTCTGGTAGTGTTAATATACTTATAGAAAGTTATTGTGATATATGTGATAGTATTTGAGCTATGTATCTATATATGTATTTTACTTTTGGTTTTTACCATGTTTTACTCTCAATTTTTTTCAACGCTTTTCAAACACCCCAAGAACTCCTTTATATAATGAATGAATGAATGGGGCATATACAAGGGCTTCTTGCAAAGGGTGACTGGGGTGATGTAAACTCCAAGAGGAGGGCTTCCTTTGTAGAATGCAGGATGAGAAGCAAAGTGGCAGACCCCAATTGACAATGTGGACCAAATATTAGCCTTACCCTGATCAAGGCTATAATTGTGAATATATGTAAGATGAAAGTCAACTAGCCCAGAAGCCAATTGGTCAATGATATAAAGATGCTGTGCTGTTAGAGATTTGCATTTGATCTCTAAATAAGCAACATGGAATTCTATACTATGCTCCATAATACTTCCTGGGTAGTACAGATTAAATTTATAATTGGTCAATCATATTATTGCAATGGATTTTATTATTCATAATAACAGTCAATGTTATCTTCACCTAGATACTGCAAAAGTTATGTGATAATTTATGTCAACTAACATAAATTGGCAATTTAGCCTATTGCTTAGGATCAAAAGAAGAAAGACAGGAAGGAATAATATTCAAGTTAAAAAGAAGATTTCAGAACAATCACAGGATTATATAATATTAACAAAATACTTTTTAAGAGAAACAGATTATAAATTCGTGACTTAGTAAGTGTGTAGTAATAGTAATCATACAGTACACCTAAAGAGCAAATTGAGCAGGAGTGATGTTACAGCATGATTTTCAACTTTTAAGATATCAACTATCTTAAATCTAGAAAGAAAAACTTTTCAAACTGTGCAGAATATTGTTACAGATGTCATAAGCCTCAGCTAAGAAATATGCAATTACATTTCTCAAAGCATGGATGTTCTTGGCTAGCAGAAGAATCGCATTTGCCAAGTGATAAATATGCCTGTTTATTTATTTGTTACTGCTTTAAAAAGAATAGCTATGCTCTTTCTTGAAGGAATTCACTTTGACATTCATAGCTTCCCACACTTTAACTTCCCAACAACCCTTTGAGGTAGTCAGAACTTATGGAGAGTGATCAAGTCAAAGCTTGGGAGACACAACACTACATTTTTTTATATCATCTTTTTATCTTATCTTTATATTCATTTCAGGCATGAAAAGTGTAATAAAGTGTTGGACAAATTCTACACTGTACTATTGTAGTTGCAGAAACAAAAAGTGCAGCCGTGTGATAGAAGGGTGTCATCACATAGCAATACCGTGCTCTAAATAATGGTGTGGCTAAAGACCGTAAGCAATCTGATAATGACTATTCCCATAGAAATACTTGGGGAAAGGAAAGTTGACTTTGAAGCCTTATATGAAATGCAGAGTGGAAATGTCTGGGAATGAAATGACATTTCATATGATATAGACTTTTTGGGGAGGAAAAAAACTTTGCATTTGAAGAAAAGTAGCTCTAGAATTGCATGTTTTTATATGAAATTTTCCAGTGCTAGTTTTTCAAGTTTCTTAAGACAAAGATACAATTCACTAAAGTTCACGTTTGTCTTTGAAAAGAAGTACAGTATATCTATGGAGCTTCTCAGTTATCCAGGTCATAGTTGTCCCAAAGATGCTTTTTCACGAGGCAGCTGGACTTTCTTGTTTTTCTTTGAACGGTAAGACGTTTCACTTCTCACCCAAAAAGCTTCTTCAGCTCAGAGCTGAAGAAGCTTCTTAGATGAGAAGCGAAATGTCTTCAAAAACAAAAAACAAGAGCATCTTTGGAACAAGAAAAAGCATCTTTGGGGCAAAAGAAGTATATGTAAAATCCACTGGGGAAAATACCCCCCCCAAAAGGGAAATCTTCAGAATAGAAGTTCTTTTCCCCCAGGACATCTTGGCTTTGTTATGTTGCATTCATTCCTTTTTTACTATTTTATAACAACCTTGTGCTATACAGAATGGACTTGTGATGTATACATCACAAAAAGCAGAGAATGGATTTGAACCTGAGCCTCTTCAATCTCAGTTTAATATTTTAATCATTACACTATGCTGCCTTTGTGATTAGGACTTAGGGAGAGGGACATTATCCACGCAAAGGGTCTTCAACCTTTGTTATCTTCATTGGTGATTTATTCAGAAGGCTCCAGACTAATAATATCTTCCTACATTTCATTAAGTGATTTATTGAAGCACTGTGGGAAATTGTGCTATGCTGTAAAAAAAAATTCAAAATATTTCTCTAGAGATGCTTTGCCTAAAAACCAATTTGTTTTCCCACAATTGGCATTATAGGACAAAATGTCATTGCAGTCAGAGCAACCTTTAAGATTAAAATGTTTGCTTTAATTTGCTTCCTTGGAAATCCATGAAGTCACATCTATATCTATTTCAACAGAACTTTAAGTTATTTCACAATTCACTGTCTATTATATTATACTACTAGTCAGAGATACTATGAATGTGTGCCTGATAGAAAAATGTATTTATTTATTTATATGTACACACAAAATTATGTGTCTTCTGCTTCACAAGAATTGAGGTACTTTATAGTGTAGTAAAGAAAATTACAAATATATACATATCACAAAATATGCACAGTCTAAATTAAAGTCTTTCTCTAAGCCCAATCACCCTTAGTCCTACAGCATGCAGCCTGTAAAATAAGCCAACAACCCTGCCTTAAATAAATTGAGATTAGGCTTGATTGGATTCATCATGCCTTCACACTCTCTAGGAATAGGAATTTAGCAAGAATGATGGCCAATATATGGCAATTTTGTCTTCTGTAAAGATTTTGTGTGGGCTCACACTTTGCATTTCATCATGACATATTGACATTGACCTGACTGGAGTGAAAATGTTCAACTGAATATTGTCAACATACTGATACTTTCTTCTAAAATAAAATATGATCTTTCCAATCAACAGGATCATGAACTGATACCACAAAGAATCTATACATCAACGTCCCTAGTCTCCACAAGGTAAAAAAAAAAAAAATCCCACATGTTCTCATATGATGTTGTCTGAGTCATTTTATCAGATTCTGTCCAAGTAGTATTCAATCCCCAACAGTTTAGGGCAGGGATAGGCAACCTCAGCTCTTTTATGACTCATGGACTTCAACTCCCAGAATTCCTGAGTCAGCTATGCTATGCTGACTCAGGAATTCTGGGAGTTGAAGTTCATGAGTCATAAAAGAGCCGAGGTTGCCTACCCCTGGTTTAGGGCTTTCCACTCAAATCTGAGAGACCTTGGCCTTTCCATTACTATGCCACCCTAGGACTGCATTATGATTGCTACATCAGTCTTCTATCCTGCAATAGCTGTAAAACTGCCATCAATAGCATGTAGATGGAGAGTGGGATACCTTTACACTTGTCATATAGAAATAATTACTTAAGAACTTGAAGTACTAACAATAGAATGATATTTGACAGTTTCCCATATAGAAAAGATGCACCCAGTCCCCTGCAAATAAATACATAAATAGGTAAAAGATATATATTGCCCTCCAGTTGTGTTCAATGTCAGAATGCAGGGGAAAAATGCTTGTAAAATATCCATTTCTTAAACAGCATTAAAAAGGATTGCCCAAATTATTTTATTATAACCCATTTTAGATCCTGTATAGTAGTTATGAAAAGCAAGAACTTGATCCATTATAACATAAGCATAAAAATAGAAGCAGAGGATTGTTTTCAGCCAAGCACTTATTTCATTTTTGTACTATTG